GAGCCCCCGGCCCCGGGCACCACGGCGCAGACCGCCCCCGGCTTCGCTGCGCTGGCCGAGAGCCCCCGCGCGCGCCGCAAGGAGCCCCTGTTCCACAGCGAGCACGGGGCCCTGGCCCAGGCCACCTCACCAGGCGCTGCGCGTCGCCGGGCGGCCGCCCAGGCCAACGGGAGCGGCGACTCAGCCAGGGAGCTGGGCAGCGCCCTTATGAGCCCTGGGCGCTACTTTAGTGGCGGGGAGAGCGACACGGGGTCTTCGGCCGAGTCCTCCCCGTTCGGGTCGCCACTGCTGTCGCGCTCCGTGTCGCTCATCAAGGGCTTGGCCCAGGACAGCCAGGCCAAGGTGAGCCACCTGAAGCAGTCGGTGGGCCGCCACGGCTCACTGTCCGCCGACGACAGCACGCCGGACACCAGCCCGGGCTCGCGCCGCCGCCTGAGCCGCCGCTCCGCCACCCCGGAGCCGGGGCCCGAGCCTCCGCGCGCTGAACACGCCGTGCGACTGGGTGCGCGGGGCAGCGTGCGGCTGCTGGCCGAGTACGAGGCAGCCCAGGCCCGGCTGCGCGTGCGCCTGCTGGCCGCCGAGGGCCTCTATGACCGCCTGTGCGACGCCCGCAGCATCAACTGCTGCGTGGGGCTGTGCCTGGTGCCTGGCAAGCTGCAGAAGCAGCGAAGCACAATCGTCAAGAACAGCCGTCACCCGGTCTTCAACGAGGACTTCTTCTTCGACGGGTTGGGCCCAGCCAGCGCGCGCAAGCTGGCACTGCGCATAAAAGTGGTCAACAAGGGCAGCAGCTTGAAGCGGGACACGCTGCTGGGCGAGAAGGAGCTGCCCCTCACCACGTTGCTCCCCTTCCTGTGAAGGCCTGGCCCCTGCGGCAGCTGGGCTGGCCCTGGTGGCCGCCAGCGTGACCAGGAATTCATCTTTCGGAGGAGGATGAGGAGGGGGTTTTTGAAGAGGAAGGGTCAGTTTCAGGGCTTCTGCCTCAAGTTCGGTGCCCTCCACACCTCTTCCTCTCTGAGTTCTAGAAAGAGGTGGCTGAGGCCTGGAGTGGGGAGCTGATGTGGGGCTGGCCATAGTTGTTTCCCGCTTGGGTAACACAGCTCTCTCCCCGGAGCCTGCTGCCAGCCCCGACCTGTCACACGCTGAAGCCTGGACCCAAGTCTGGCTCAGTGCAGGGTGCTGGTCAGGCTGGCTCTGGGCAAAGTGTGCTGTTAACGAGATAAGGCAGAGGGCCCCCTGCACACCCTCACAACAGGGGCCTCAGAAGAGGACAGTGAGTGTGACCATTTCCCCTTGTCCCTCCTGTGGCCTGGTCCATCCTGGCTGTCCTTTGTGGCTGCTCAGGACCCCACGTTCCTGCTGGATGGAGGGTTGCTTAGAAGATGCCCAGAGAGTGGCTCTCAAATGCAGGCCCCCATTCCTCCCTGTCCTTCCACTGGGGGCTGCCACCTCAGGTCACCTGCTCACCTTCTACCCAGTGGCCTTGGCTAGTGCCCAGTGACTGGGACCCAGTGACCAGTGATGGATATCTAGTGACCAGTGATATGGACCCAGTGACCAGTGTCATGGTCTTTATAGCAGGAGTATATATAGGCTTTGGTTTTGGGGGTGGGCAGGTAGGGTGCTTGGCTGTGGGTTTCCATGCTGCTGAATGGCTGTGTGGTGACCTGTTAGCTGGGCTCCCGGATGACCACCTTAGGTTTTCTAATGCTGATGAAACAAAGAAATGCCCTTTGTCCTTTCCCCTGCTGAGCAGGGGCCAACTAGGGACAGCTCTGGCCCGTGGGGATGCCAGGAGTTACTGCCTCATTTCCCCTTTTACCTGGTGTCACCGGATATTTAATGTCAGGGGGAAGGGAGCAACAGTTAGTAAAAGGGGTACCAGGGAGGGGAGCCAGGAAAGGGGTGTCAGTTCAAAGCAAGCTTGTTCCCTGCCACATATCCAGGTGCTGAGACCTCCAAACTTGGAGGAGTGTACCAGATGTGTGACATGCAACCTGGAGGAGTGCCTCTCAGAGCCCCTTCCCACCTCCGCCCAACCCTGCTTCTCTTGTGCCTCTGAAGGACCCCACTTTGTGCTAAAAGAAGGTATGCAGCCTTCTGGGACTGGAGAGAGAGGCGAAGGCATGCTCTGGAGGCAGGGGTCTCCCTGGGGCAGGGGTCTGCATCTGCCTACTTCCTTTCCTTCTGACCCTGGCCTGCCCTGCCTGTGTTCCTTGGGATCTCTGTCTTATATACTCTGCAGTGTTTGAAATCTTTGTGTTTGGAGTTGACTGTGGATAATTCTTTAAGACACCCCAAGTGTGTTTGTTTATAAACTATAATGCTGTTTTCAGTGCAGTAAAGGTGTTACTGGAGTGTGGGGGTGGAGGTTGGCTTGCTTTGCTGTTTAGCAAGAGAGGAATCACACCTTAAATTGCTTGAGGCCAGCAGGGAGGGTGGGGGAGGAAGGCAGGTGGCCTCAGGCCCTGTCACTTGGGAACCACAGACTCTGGTTACAACTACTGAGTATCCCCACTGTGCAGCCACACAGAATGGCTTGGGTGTGGGGACAGGACATTGGTCAGGTCTGCACGGCTTGGGGACAGAGACTGGACATTGGTGCCATTGCCAATGGTGGCCCCTGAGTGCGGAGGCTGGGGAGCCTCTAACTGTTGCAGTCCCCTATACACTATACACGGCAGGACAGTGTGTGAACGCTTCAGCGAGGAGCCAGCCCCTGCCCTGTCCTCTCCAACCTGGACACCTAGGATTAGAGGCAGACCGGCTTGGCCTGGACTCTGCACAGGCTGTTCCTGACACCTGGACTCCCGACCCCAGATTTTCTTCAGCCTTGGGGCTTTACTGAGATGGCACCTCCTCCAGGAAGCCCTTCTGGTGTCTTCCCTCTGTCACCTGACCCCCACCTTGACTCATATCTTTTCACTTGTCGTGGAACATATCTGTCTCTGACACCAGACAAGGACAGGTTTATCTAAATTCTCGGGGGGCTTGGTGAGGGGTGACCAGGTGGACATGATCTGCCCCTTCCAGCTCCTGTAGGGGATGCTGAGCTCTGGGATAACAGTGGATGGTTCCACACCCAGCATCTTCCACTCCCCTAAGAACTGTCACCACCCTGAGGTGGCCTCTGTCCACTAACAAAAGGTGTGGCCACATGGTCATCTCTGGGAGCCTGTAGGAAAGGCAAGGCCTGGAGAAGGGGTACTGTGAGAACAGAGGCAGGATCTGGGGTGCAGGGCTCCACTTCTCCAGAAGGTGAGGCCTCGAGATAATATGGGATCCTTTAACTCAGATATGGCTTCACCCTGAAGAGGGTGCCCCTGGCCCTAGAGCCTTACTAACTGGCTGTGGTTGGAGAGATGGGTTCTGTGCGGAGCACAGAGGGAGAGAGGAGCTCTCCACGGTGCTGTGTTCTCTCAGCAGCCCCCCAAGAGGCCACTCCTGAGAACCACCTCCAGGAACCACCCCAAGGGCCACCCCCAGGGGCCATGCCTATGGGCCACCTGTGCAGGGATGAGTTTCAGTCACAGCCACAGCCAGCTTGCAACTAGGACCAGGTAACAGCCTCCCCCCCCACCCCCCGGCTGGGTGGGCTTCAAGCAGCACCTGCAAGGGGTCCAGGGCCTCTGCCATTGGGCACTTACTGAGGTCCTGTAAAGAGCAGAAAATAGGGTCCTTCTGCTCCTCTGATGGGACTGGGAGGGAAGTCCAAAGGGAAACAAGGGCCAGGTATGCATTTAGACAATGCTGTGCCTCGGACATCACCATCCATTCACAGCAAGGGTAAGGAGGACACTGAGAGGTCCCAAGGTAGGGCCTCTCCAGGTTGCACCTCTCTCCTCAGACCCCCAGGCTGTGTCTCCCCTCATCAACTCCCCCAGGCTGCACCTTTCCTCTCAAGACCCCAGGCTATGTTTCCACCTCAAGACCCCAGCCTGTACCTCCCCCCTCGACCCCCCAGGCTGTGCCTCCCCCCCTAGACCCCAGGCTGCACCTCCCCTCTCAAGACCTCAAGCTGTGCCTCCCTTCTCAAGACCCCAGGCCACGCCTCCCTCCTCAGACTCCCATCCTACACCTCCCTCCTCAGATCCCCAGGGTTTGTCTCCCCTCAGATTCCCACCTTGTGCCTCCCTCCTCACACCCTAGGCAGTGTCTTCCCCTTCATTTTTATGTCTGGGTCATGGCTCCCCTCCCTGCTCAGGGTCAGGGCTGTGCCTCTCCCCTCCAGATCCAATTCAGGACTTTGCCACCCTCTCAGACCCCAGAACATGCCCCCAACCTCAGGGGTCCAGACTGTCAAACACCTGCAAGAACCTTTGAGGCAGTGGGGCTCTGGAGTGGCTCCTCCACTGAAAACCAAGTGAGCTGCACTGCTGAGACTGAGACTGGCTGTCCCCGGGAGGAGTTGCCAAGGCAACCAGGCGCCTTCTTGCCTCTTCACACCAGTTGCTTGGCACTGGGCCGCTACCATGTGAGGGTGTAGCAGGGTGCATGTGTGTGGAAAACCATGTGAGCACATGCTTGAAAGTCTTGTGTGCATGCATGTACCATGTGCATCTGTGTGCACGCAAGTATTCCATACATGTCTGCACATGTGTGAGAGTGTGTAATGGTATTGTGTGTAACTGCATGTGTGAGGGTGCATGACAGTACCATTGATAACTGTACTTGTGTGTGAAGCAGGACCAAGTATAACTGTGCAGTGCCATGATGGAGGGAGAGGAGACTGAAACTGTCAACAGCTTCATCTTGCTTGGATCCACAATTAACTCCCTGGGTACCAGCAGTCAGGAAATACGGAGACATATTGCACTGGGAAAGTCTGTGTTAGGGACCTTTCCAAATTTCTAGTTTGACGACTAACGTGAATCTGGTTCAGGCCATAGTCTTTCCGATTACTAGCTATGCATCCGAGACCTGGACAATGAATAAGGCTGACAGAAAAAGAATTGACGCCTTTGAGCTGTGAAGTTGGAGAAGAACAATGAACATCTCACAGACGGCCAAGGGAACAAATAGATCTGTCTTGGAGAGGGGGCAGCCAGAGTGCCCTTTGGAGGTGAGAATGATGAGGCTTCTCACATATTTTGGATATGTTGCTAGGAGGGGCTATTCCTTGGAGAGGGACATGATGCTGGGAACTGTGGAGAGTCAGCAAAGGAAAGGAAGACCCTCAACTCAACCAGGTGGACTGACAAGGTGACTGCTGCAATGGGCTCTTGTGTGTCAGAAAGTGTGAGGATGGTGCAGGACAGAGCAGAGTTCAGATCTTTGGTTCACAGGGGCCCTAAGTCATACTTGACCTAATGGCACCTAACACCAGCCCCACCCCCATAACTGTGTGACCATGTGAGTGTATATATATATATGTAACTATGTGAGTGTAAAACTATCATGTGTGATTGTGTGCGTGTATCTCTGTGTGCATGCATGTGGGTGTACTTTAACCATGCCTGTGTGCAAGTGTGAAAAAAGTGTACTGTGCACATGTGAGTGTGCGATCACAATGAGTGTAATTGTGCATGCATAATGGCATGTGCGAGGAAAAGCAATCCATGTAACGGTGTGGTCATGTTTGTTATCACATGCAGGTACACATATGGGACATGTATGTGACAGTGTGGACACATGTGACATGTATGGAACGGTGTGCAACCACATATCTGCTACGTATGTGACTCTGATCATGTGTGTGACACCACGTAATATATGTGGCCATGTGTGACAATGTGTGTGACATGTGGCCACATGTGACCACGTGTGTGACCACATTTATGACCATGTGGTTGACCATGTATATGACCACGTACATGATCTTGTGTGTGACTATGACCATATTTCTGTGTGTGACACCA